AACCACACCGCACAGGAAAACCACACCACACAGACAAACCACACCACCCAGGAAAACCACACCACACAGGAAAACTACACCACACAGACAAACCATACCGCACAGGAAAAACAAATCGCACGGGAAAACCACACTACAGAGGAAAACCACACAGCACAGACAAACCACACAACACAGGAAAACCACACAACACAGGAAAACCACACCACACAGACAAACCACACCTCACAGGAAAACCACACCGCACAGGAAAACCACACAGCACAGGAATACCACACAGCACAGACAAACCACACAGCACAGGAAAACCACACTGCACAGGAAGACCACACTGCACAGACAAACCACGCTGCACAGGAAGATCACACTGCACAGGAAAACCATGCCACACTGGAAGACCACACTGCACAGGAAAACAACACAGCACAGACAAACCACGCCGCACAGGAAAACAATTAGGGATGGGCAATAAATGCTGCCTCGCCAGGTACACCTTCATCCTATGAATGAATAAAGGAGATCACCACTTGTACATAAGAATGAGTGGGAAAGATACTGAGCAACAAACATGATAGTTTTGTTCAAAGCTTCCAGCTGACAGCAGTGAATTTCTCTAGGCTTTCGCTGCCATCAGCTGAAATGGAATCTCTCAGTATTATCAAAAGGCCTGGAGAAGTCATAGAGCAAGCTTCCCTGGAGCCATGGTGTACCGTGCTGGGTGGATTGTAACATCTTCAAACACAGATAAATCCAAAGATGTTACCAATTAGGCTTTTACAAAGAGATTTCTCTTACTTGAAGTTTCACAAACGTTATGTTGCAATAGTCACACATTTTGAAAAATTCTGACCAGTTTAATTGCAATTCCACCTCAGAAAGACAGCATGCAAATTTAAGCTATTTTAAAGGGTTTTCTGTCATTTAAATATGGTGTGTTGTCCAGTGTGAGGATCAGGTGGCGAGGGTTTCCCAATGCCATCTGATCCTGTGCCAAGCCCATGTTACACATTTTCATGACACAGGCAGCCACAAGCTTCCCACACAGAATTCCTTCTTGCTTCTAGCCCTGCTGACAAGCTCATCGATAGGAGTACAGAATCCAGCTAAACAATTCAACAAAGTGTATTCCTCTTGGTGAAACTCTACAGCACTAATGACAGCAAAAGCATGGTCAAAGCTACAATTAATAACCTCCTCTGTGACCACTGATCTCTCTTGTGGGCCTGCTTGCAAGTTAAGACAGAAAAATGTCAACATATCAAATTGCATTTCAACACTAAAGACTAGCCTGACCATGGATTTTAAATGTCCACAACACTTCATATCAGAAATACTCTGCCTCACCTTGAACCATACTCTAATGAATGCCTGCAAATAAAAATAGAGAAAAAAAAATTACTGCTGTCAGCTTTGAACAAAGCTATCATGCTTTTTGCTCGGTATCTTTCCCACTCATTCTGATATACGTAGTCATGATCTCCTTTATTCATTCATAGGATGAGGCTGTCCCTGGCTAGGCAGCATTTATTACCCAGAGGGCTGATGAGAGCTAACCATATTGCTATGGGTCTGGAATCACATGTAGGCCAGACCAGGTAAGGATGGCAGTTTCCTTCCCTCAAGGATATTAGTGAACCAGAGATAGTAGGAACTGCAGATGCTGGAAAATCTGAGATAACAAGGTGTAGAGCTGGATGAACACAGCAGGCCAAGCAGCATCATAGGAGCAGGAAGGCTGACGTTTCGGGCCTAGACCCTTCATCAGAAATGGGGGAGGGGAAGGGGGTTCTGAAATAAATAGGGAGAGAGGGGGAGGCAGATAGAAGATGGATAGAGGAGAAGATAGGTGGAGAGGAAACGGACAGGTCAAAGAGGCGTGGATGGAGCCAGTAAAGGTGAGTGTAGGTGGGGAGGTAGGGAGGAGATAGGTCAGTCCAGGGAGGACGGACAGGTCAAGGGGGCGGGATGAGGTTAGTAGGTAGGAAATGGAGGTGCGGCTTGAGGTGGGAGGAGGGGATAGGTGGGAGGAAGAACAGGTTAGGGAGGCGGGAACGAGTTGGGCTGGTTTTGGAATGCGGTAGGGGGAGGGGAGATTTGAAGCTGGTGAAATCCACATTGATACCATTGGGCTGCAGGGTTCCCAAGCAGAATATGAGTTGCTGTTCCTGCAACCTTCGGATGGCATCGTTGTGGCACTGCAGGAGGCCCAGGATGGACATGTCGACTGAGGAATGGGAGGGGGTGTTGAAATGGTTCGCGACTGGGAGGTGCAGTTGTTTATTGCGAACCGAGCGTAGGTGTTCCGCAAAGTGGTCCCCAAGCCTCCGCTTGGTTTCCCCGATGTAGAGGAGGCCACAACGGGCACAGCGGATACAGTATACCACATTAGCAGATGTGCAGGTGAACATCTGCTTGATGTGGACTTCACAAGCTTCAAAATCTCCCCTCCCCCTACCACATCCCAAAACCAGCCCGGCTTGTCCCCACTTCCCTAACCTGTCCTTCCTCCCACCTATCCCCTCCTCCCAACTCAGCCCTACCCCTATCTCCTACCTACTAGCCCCATCCCGCCCCCTTGACCTGTCCGTCCTCCCTGGACTGACCTATCCCCTCCCTAACTCCCCACCTTACACTCACCTTTACTGGCTCCATCGCCGCCTCTTTGATCTGTCTGTTTCCTCTCCACCTATCTTCTCCTCTATCCATCTTCTATCCACCTCCCCGTCTCTCCCTATTTATTTCAGAATCCCCTTCCCCTCCCCCATTTCAGATGAAGGGTCTAGGCCCAAAACATCAGCTTTCCTGCTTCTATGATGCTGCTTGGCCTGCTGTGTTCATCCAGCTCTACACCTTGTTATATTAGTGCACCAGATGGGTTTTTCCAACAATCAACAATGGATTCAAAGTCATCATTAGATTGTCAATTCCAGATATTTATTGAATTCAAATTCCACCATCTGCCATTGCGGGATTTGAACCCAGGTCCCCAGAATATTATCTGGGTCTCTGGATTAACAGTCCAGCAATAATACCATACAATAATAATAATAATAATTGCCTCCCCTTCTGCCTAATGACAAGCCTATGGTACATTTGTCTAAATCTCATGGCCTTGTGCATTCCTTTTCAGTTGCTCATAGAGGTTCTGCATTTTCAATTTTAATGAGTAATACGACTTGGTGAAAAGAGTACATGAAATGGTTTCTGTTACCTTTCTGCTACCATAACTCGTCTTCCCAAAGATATCCATGGTCCTTCGAGATTCTAGCTGTTCCACGGTCACCAATAAAAATTGGCAGCTTCCCCTGTTAATCATGGCTCATGTCCACAGGCAAGTGGCCATAACCTGGGCCTGGGTGACTCACAAAAGAGCAAGGACAAATACCCTTTGAGACCTCAAAAGCGCCTATTAGCCTAACTGAATATATACGGAAAATTCTGACAAAAAGACACACTCAAAGCTTTTCATTCAGCCCTCATCAGCTCAATTTACAAGAAATCCCAACTCAAGGGGAGAGCTAACATTTATACTTCAGGAGAGGAAAATGCTGACTGGTTGGCAAGCGGACTCTGATAGAGGTGGAGATGCAATATGTCTGGACTAGTAATCCAAAACCCAGCCTAATGTTCAGGGGTCATGGGTTCAAATCCCACCATGGTAGATGGTGAAATTTGGATTCAATAAAAATCTGATGTAAAAAGTTAGTCTGGGTGTTACCATGTAACCACAGTGAAGTGTTATAAAACCTACCTGGTTTACTAATGTCCTTTAAAGAAGGAAATCTGCAATTTTTACCTGGCATGGCCTATGTTTGACTCCAAACCCACAGCAATGTGGTCAACTGCTAACTGCACTCTGGATAATTAGGAAAGGGTAATAAATGCTGGCCTAGCCAGCAAAGTCCACAACGCATGAATAAATTTTTTAAAATTCTTCTAAGGCCATTATATCCTTCCCAAGGTGTAGGCCCAGAATTGGCCACATCATCTAAGCAGTATTGTGTGCAGCTTAATCATGAGTTCTATCCCC